ACAGCTGTGATAAAAATCTATATTTAATTTATACAGTGAACACTATGCAGTGTTATTTTCCCTAATTATTACATTTCTGTATTTGAATACTACCAACCTTATTTTATTTGTAACATATTCTGTTGTATTTATCTACGCTTGTAATCTGTGCATTTGTTCTTATTTTTACTGGCTGTTCTCTTGTCTCTTTAATCATGTTTAAACTTTCTTAGTTAATCTAGTAGTATCTGCTGTGGTATCAAAGAAGTACTTCGCTTTAAGTAATAAATGGAAAGCAAGTTAAATTGAAATATTTGTATTTTCTTGCTGATCCGAAAAATGATCCGATCCGTGGGTCAAAAACCGTAATGTGATCCGAACCGTGAGATTTGTGATCCGTTGAACCACTAGTATCCAGACTTTCACCAGTGACATATGCAAAAGCAAATGCCTGTCATGGTATGGGGGTGCAGCAGAACAAACGGCATCGGTGACCGGCATATGTGCGAATGTACCATTGACATGGAGGCATTTATTGGGATTGTACAGAGACTTATACTGCCATCAAGACATCTTTCATGGGAAGTCCATGGTTATTAGATCAAGACATTGCCAGGTCTCATTCAGCATGTGCTACAACAGTGTTCCGTAGACACATGTGGAAGTGACTGACCGGCCAGCAGATCTGTCTCATATTAAAAATGTATGGCCCATCATGAAAAGGAGAATCAGACAATAACGACTACGGACTGATGAGCAGCTGTAGTCTTGTATCAAGCAAGACTGGACAAAAATGTTTACCCCTTTAACTTTAACAATTAGCATCCTCAATTCTCAAATGATTAAACATTGTAATTAAAAGGAGCAAAGAGTGAAAAATTTAAGGGGGTCTGAATACTTTCCGTACCCACTGTATATATATATATATATATATATATACAGTATATACTTAGATTTTTTTCATTCCCATCAGGTGCATTTTTACCAAAGTGACTTACAGTAAAGTGCACAAAGCTCAGTAAGGGCAAATACCAGGACATGCAGCTGAGATACATTATTAGACCTAACGTTTTTACATATTGGTGGACCAAATACACAGATATTAAAATAGAAGAGCAACCACAGCAGAATAAATACTGCTGGATCTCATTGCACTCGTGTATTTTATGTTGGGAGTAAAAATGCACGCATAAAGACCAGGTCAAATCATTCCCTGACTTTGTTTGCAAGTGGTCACTTCTGTGCACATGGTCTTTGATGCTGACTGAACCACTGGATCTGCCGGACATACAACTGATTGCAGAACATGACAGACAGGTCACATGTCTTGCAGATTTCATTGGCTGGGCTGCAGCCCAAGCAGCTTTCCTAACTAACTGCTGACTGCTTAACAAAGCTAATCCACACACCAGAGAGACAGAGAACAGGAAGTAGACCGGTTCAATAAGATGGACAGATTTCTGTGCATTGGCATAATGTATCAAATGTTTCAGCATATAAAATACCGAAGAGCGTTATCTAAAGAATATATATGGGGGTTATCTCTAATAGAGCCATACAATCATAAAGAATTAGTCCAATATAAACAGCACCAATATGACTTTTTAACAAGAGGGTCTACAGATAACGTTACAGCAAATACTGAATTAAACTATGATTATAAAATCTAGTTGATATGATTTACTTAAAAAGCACGCTGAGTTCTTACATTTGAGTCAATATTCTAGAAAATCAGAGAGCATCCATAACTAACCTGTTAACATCGATTTTTACGATATGAGAGCCTTTACATTCATGTGAATGCGATAATAAACTATATAACTCATCCAGAGAATGACAGAATGTTGAGTGTTCTGCTGAATCTAACGTTACTCGGCTTTGTTTGTTCGTTGCGCTTGCTGCCCATACTGCTCTACTCTCACTGTTGTATCGTTCAAAGTGACGCTGTTCTTATTGGTACAGATGAAATACATAAAGTAGTTTTGTTCTACCTTGAATGCTGTGGTATTTTCTCCAGTAATGTGTGGTAAAAGAAGACAGCTCAAGACATCTCAGCTTCTCTCACTCGACCTGCTGTTGTCATGGTACTGACACCGACGCTGAAGCCAGCACTGTGTAACGTGACAGCGTGTTATCAAAATAAAAGTCCCTGATCCTCACTCCCCAGTTTTCCGTTAACAGCAATAAAAAGTGTATCTGTTATATACATATATATATATGTTATATATATATATATATATATATATATATATATATGTGTGTGTGTGTGTGTGTGTGTGTGTGTGTGTGTCTGTTA